GTGTACATAACAGCGTTTCTAAGAAACATAGCGTTAGACCCGAGCGTTAAGGCAAAACGTAAAGTCTAGCTACATTGTAGCATTGAATATAACACTGATAACCCGTATGACCTATATAGTCCTTGAATCCGCTCTGGAGAGCACTGGCGACATTAGTGAAACGTACGAATGATGGCCTGGTTAAAAAGAGCATATTGTTAAACCATAAATCTACACCCCCGCACAAACCCCGTTGTAGCGTAGTTTAACCTCTATAAGACATCCGCTTCCATTTTACTGCCTCTAATTAGTTCTTTGTTTTGTAGAATAGCATCCCAAATCGAAAATAAAATAAAAATGGATTAGTAATTTCAAAAACGGATTTACGGATAGACTTTAAAAATGAAAATGAATTTAAAAAAAAGAAATGGATTTTAAAAATGAAAATGGATTTTAAAATCAAAAATGGATTTTAAAAACAAAAATGGATTTTGAAAACTAAAATGGATTTTAAAAACGAAAATGGATTTTGAAATCAAAAATGGATTTTGAAAATGAAAACGAATTTTAAAAATGAAAATAGTTTTTGAAAACGGATTTTAAAAACGAAAATGGATTTAAACAATTGTTTTTTTTAAATGAAAACAGATATCAGAAACGAAAGTGTATTTTAAAAATCGATTTCAGAACCGAAAATGGGAATTATAAAATAGAAATGAATTGTAAAAATGTTTTCATAAAATGCCATGTTGTGAGCCACCTCGGTTGCAGTAGGTCCAGCTACATTGTAGCACAGTCCCTCAACACCTAGACAGCAATATTATACTCAGGCAAATTACATGTAGTTATGTAGTAATAAATGGTACACGCACAACCGCAGAAAACGACCGGTATCGGTAGTTCGTTGAACCCCTCGATGTGTAGATTCTACAACAGAAGTCCATTCAAATCTACCAATACACAGACATATATGTACAACGACGTAGTAATATTTTAATCTTCTCCACATATTATATATCGATACCATACACTGAATAATGGTTATTTATGAGTACCGATATTTTTTGTTTCTGTATTTCTTCAGTTGTAGCCTAGTCTGAGATTGTAGTTCACATTCACCTTTGCCTGGTTCCCGACTCAAGTGTTATGGCGTACCAAGCCACAAGCGAAGGAACACACACAGCGAACATTCACCTATAAATGTCGCCACCACATGACCTGTAAATTGCCCCACGATGCATCGCTTTGTTGACTTGACATAACTTCCGGGTTCGCCTCGTTCCGCTTTGACACTTGGTTTGTTGATATTGACTACGAACGAGATGGGATCGCTGGTTTGTAACTAACACGTGGACTGTCACCAGGGGCGTTATATGCCAACATGTGTGCCCTTTACACGGAAGACACGATTCGAGTGCAGACTGAGACTGGCGAGTGTAAGATCGATTTATGTTTCGGTGACATTACAAGTCTGAAAAAAGAAGAGGCGGTGGATGTGTGCCTGGTGTCAGCATTTCCTGGTATTGTATGAATGATGTAATTTGTCACCAACGACCTCGATTTGCACATGTGCCAAGTGTTTTCCAACATGTAACAAATCCTTGTCTCTATGTCAGTTGACCTTCGGCCCTGGCACGGCTCATTTTCACTAATACGCTTTCACAATAGCCGAGGTTACGTGTCGTTGTGGACTTCGTCTGCAGGCTAGAACCTATCCGGACCCAAAACGGTGCGAAACCTCGGTTGTTGTAGCGATTACGAGATCTGACTAAAACTTAGAACCGATATATTTACAGAACACGGGCAGTGGTCATGACCATAATATTGAAGATGCCAGAGCCCGAGGGCAGACACCAAAAATTAAAACCGTGATATTGCCCAAATGACTAGGTGTTATATATTTTATCAAATTGGACATGCATCCACTATGCACAATCACATCTACCATGCTAATCTCACACCCACTCTCCCATAAAATATTTTATGTATTATAACAATTGACACATTACTCAATAGCATACATACATTGTTTGCTGAAAAAACTGCGAAATACACACAGTAAAACTTCCAGCCACAGAAACTCTTTTTCGTAACTGCGTTACGTCAGTGTGAATCACTCAATTTATCAAGTATAAAACTATTGAAATGAATTGAAAAATTTTCAAATGCAAGTTATTTCACCACTTACCAGATAAAAATGTCAGAGTGCCATGGAAGTGACTACAATGACTTTCTCACGAACGTACCACACCTATTGACAAGCCACACAGCTTAGAGCATGCATCCTCGGTTAGCATCGGTTATGATCGTATATGATCGTATGCTTAGAAATGGTCACAGCGTAGAACGCGCCACAGCATTCCCAATTGCGACATTTCATTGGTGGCTTTGACGTACATTTTTGCTTTATATAAAGAATACCCTAAACATCAAAACAGAGTATCTTACTCAATATCCGTTCTGGCACGTTCACTGTCTATTTCGAATGGCTAAAGTTCCTTAAAAATCTTGAAAACAACCCCAAAAGCAACAGCGGCCAGGACAGCACCAGTGACAATTTGTTATGTGCAGTATTATTTGGGCAGTAGTTTCAGTGATGTCATCCATGTAATATACCATATAATACCCATTTTTATTCAATGTCATGTGACTCAGTCTCAACCAATCACATCATGCATAACAACAGTGAGATGTGACATATCTAGACATAAAAAGGCATGAAACCATGGCACCATACATCGGGGTGATACCAGAAATCACGGTTACTAAAAAAGATAGTAACCGTGCAGAAATGTATCATTCTATCGATTAAGTAAACAAAATTGGAACACAGTTGCAGTTGAGTTGAAACGAGTTTCCAAACTTTCAGAATATGGTATGCATTGTACATACTGTAAAATCATGTGTTTTCACTAGCATTTAAATTCACTATTTTGGTATTTTTAGCATATTCATTGGTTTTTATGTCATGAATTTTTATGTCATGGAAATTACCAGTTCTAATTACCAGATTTGAGATTTTACTTATCAACAAAATTAGCAAAATTAAAATTCTATGAATAACGAATCCATTTACATACTACATTATAATTGAACTTAATTGTCTTTTTCAGTATTCAGTCACCATTGTTTTACGATTCTTTTTTTATGTTCCTCAATACATGTATTTAGGTGATTATGCCGCAACTCCGACATCACTGATTGGGGCATTCCAGAAGAATCTAGGTCTGTCTGTTCGAGAACTGTCTAGGGATAAAGAAGAAGATCTTAGAAGACTGTACTGTTGTTGGTGGTCACGTCCATTACCACAACGCTATCCATTCCGGAGAATTCTATGCTTTGAAAGTACACGGTAATTGTTTGGATGAAATGATCTATTATTTGACATGACAAGATTATCGGTTGTTTCAGGTCATTATAACATGGCTGACTAAAGTTTCAAACTGATTTGTAAATTATTA